AGGTGAGAAAAAAAACAAACAAAAGAAAAGAGACACGAAAGAACGAAAGGCCGGCGTTATAATATGTACGTGTATCCGCGACGGACTTGTGCGATTGATTGCCACGACTACACTGCTGTAGAGCCGTTGGAATAGGAGCCACGGCCACGCTGCATGTCATGCCTGCCGCTGAAAGAACGACCCGCGGCCCAAGCACAAGCCCTAACGACACATCCAGTAACACTCGTGTCATCGACCGCCCATTCCCCCCGCCTTTCTGACAAGTTTTGCCCTCTCAGATGTCTCCTCTAATCTATGTCTATGTCTATCATCATGTAGAGTAATCTTCCCACCCCCTCTTCTATCACAGCCCGGAACACACAACACGCAGACAAAAGTGCAAGCGAAGTAGCAAAAAGATTATTTCTCTGCGGATACCACTAATATTTTCTTCGAAGAAAAACGACGAAATCGAAAAGCATGGAACACCCACGTGCCCCATCTCCGTCTTCTTGTCGACATCCATTGCTGCAACTAACCCGCGACGCACGCTACGCACAAGCATGCCAAATCATGCCTACCCGCAAACCACAAGCTGACAGGTAGCACGGGACAGCACGAAGAATTCGGCTAAAAAAACATCTTCCAATTCGAGCGCTGCAGCAGCTCAGCTCGAACGTATAATATGTACACCAGTGCATGTTGCGCTCGCGCCACGAAAATAGCAGCAGCGCTCTTGCGAATCCTTGTCGACGGGGTCCTACACACCAGGCATCCAAAGTAACCTCAAGCGACAACGGCAGAACTTTTCTCTCTCCTCTTCTTCTGCCCTCTTTCCAAACAGCTTCAAGCCAGAAACAGCAGCAGCCTCCTCCCATTCAATGCCCAGCCCAACATGCAACGAGTTCTTTTTGAATGCTTAGCGCGGTACATATACTACTCACATGGCTGCTCAGGACGATGGCCTGTTGCAGCGTGTTCCAATAGTCTCAACAAAGCAACCCGTGGGTTGCAGCAAGAACAAGCCGCAACGCACGCGAAGTGGGAGACTACAGCAGTTGACAACATAAACTAGTGGCCACGAAAAAATACGGCAAAAGCAACCCGCCCGCCCGGGCGCGCCAGAGAAAAGAGGAAGAAGACAAAACCACCACCACCACTGCTGCAGCTTAGTTTTCTCTCGCTATCGTCCCCCACTCTCCTCCCGCGCAGCCACCCACACCACCTCCGCTCTCCCCCTGCCCAAGCAAAAACCACACTCGGCAAGGGCAAAGGCGCTGAGAGGCGTATATCCGTTTCCTCTAGCTTTCGCCACTCACCAAAAGCTAGAAACAGCGACTACGCCCGAACGGTGGACCCCACCAAACACTCCTGACTCAAAAGAACGACCGTTCTTCGTGTGAAGGCAGAGCGTCCCTTCCCACCCAAGGCTGCTTCCTAACCCATCAGAGCAAACCCCTGTCCCACATCGCCTCGGAGTCAAAGCAGCCGCCGTTCAAGCAGCAGCAGCAGCAAGCACCGTCTCCTCGGGTAGCAAGTACGCGTGTGGGGAAACACAACACGCCTTTGCTTTCAACGCGCCGGAAGGGAGCCTTCGTAGACATGTAGCTAGGGTGAGGCCAACCAACATTAAGTCCGTCAGGACATCTAATGTACGTCTCATCTTCTTTTTGCTCAGTTCTTCTGGCTGACGAAGTGGATCAAAAGGGCCGGCGTCGGCATCGCGAACAGGACCTGCTGCAAGAACTGCGACGGGTTTCGGAGGCCGAGGGGGGAGACGCGGAGGAGAATAATTCAACCATGGGGGGTCATCGAGCTCTTCATTTCCAGGGGTCGGCACGAAACAAATCACCAGCATCAAAGCACAACTCACGCGACAAAAAAGAAAACCGGCAACGTAGCCCGCGCCATCGCCAGGGCCTGGATCATCTGGGTGTCACATCCGCAACCCCTTCAATTTGAAACCAAAGCAAGTAGACAACAACTCAGGTAGGATCTTGTACTGGGGTTTCAAGCTGCCGCTCCCTGTGAGCGACACGTCGGTGGCATGAAGGCCTTTGAAACAGCGGTCAGGTTCAACCACACTCCCGTCGCCGAAACACAATTTAGCTGTCACGGAGTCAGGGTCTAAATTTTCTCGTGGAGAACCGTCCAAGCCCCCCCCCTCTCTGACTAACGTCACTTTGCACACAAGCAAGCTCGATCGGAGGATACGCCGATGGTCGTTGTTCCCCCGAAAGAGGTTCAGAAAGGTCATTGTCCCGCCTTCGCAGCGAAACGTCCCCACTGTCAGCAAAAAAAGGAGAGCTACAATATGTACCGAGGGGGGTCGAGCTTACGGAAAACCAAACCACCAGTCACGGCGTGTGTTCGAGTCAACGCATGCCATTGGGCACGACGCTGCGTTCTAGAACGGTATACTGCTGGTGAGGGCGGCGAAACATGGAGTGGTCACGTACATGTACACACCATGTCTCGGGGGAACTGCGATGAGACAAAAGCTCCCAATGTTATTACCCCCCTGTTTCATGCAGCACTCCGCCCGCACGCAGTATATTCAACTTGGAATGCGAGAAGAGGGGATCGCTCTCGACAGACAGACGTTGGGAGATGGTACCCTTCATGGAGGAGATTCTCAATACCAAGTGTATTCTCTATTTCGAGTTTCCTTGCACGAATGGTTGGGGCTCTGCGTGTCCCCGTTGTCCGCCCTGCTGGCTAACGTTTGTCGTTTGCCCTGTATACTCACGTACATTATTCTTAAGTAAACATAACCCCACATGTTGTATTTTCATTTACCGTGTTTTTTATTTTCCTTGCACTACTGGTTGGGCTGTGTCCCCATCGTCAAGCTATGTAGCTCTCGTGGTTTGCCCCAACGCTCACAAATATCTATGCCGGCTGCAAAACCTCACCGTTTCCAGCAGGTTGCACTTGTGCGCGAGGTAGTCCGGGTTCAGGCACCGGTAGTGCGGCTTCGCCCTCACCACCCGCCTCCAGGCGGCCGCCGCGTCCGGGTCTCCCTGGGTGCACGCGGCGATCGTCTTGAACTTGGAGAAGCGCTGCCACTTGCTCCACCTGCGACCGGCTCCCTTCAGGCGGACCTCGTACTCCGCGTGCATCCCCAGGATCGTCGACACCACTCTGAGAGATATAACGCAAAGCGGGGTAGGGGTGCACAAGAGAGATAAGGGGCGGGGGGGGGGAGGGGCGAATCGAGGGCGACAGAGCGACAGCATTGGGCCGTGAAACGAAAAGCCGCAGTTTACTTCGAAAGGGACATGGTAAAAGTTAGTTTTGACCCCCTTGCCGATCTATTAGGGGGACGAATCACGCCTTCTGTCTGTGGTACTTCAAAACGTTCCTGTAGCTAAGCATTCAAATAACCAACGCCGTAGTGAATGTGTCTCGGGAGCTTGCATGTACCTCGAATTCAACCTTGAATCATCGTTCAGAAATGTCTGCGTGCGTACAGATGCGTACGTATACGTAGGCTCTGATACAACCTCATACATGCCATTTTCTCTTCCCTGCGCGTGACGTCTTGACACACCAAAAATACTTTCACCGCCGAAAAGGATTTTGCTGCTTTTAGTCTACAGATGGCGCCCGCACTTAAGAACATCTTAATTTGCGTGAGGCTGGGGTTCTTAGTTGCCTGTTGAGGCTGCGAATGGCCATTATATAGGTTTTAGTGTGAGGTTCTTAACGGGGACCACTAAAATACGCTCATGTTCATGAGTGTTGGTTTTTTTGAGCCTCATGTTCTTAACAGGTAGGTTCTTAAGTGCGGGCGCCATCTGTACGCCTTCAAGTTGAAGGCACGCCTTCTGCTGGGCAGTTGACGATGATTCGGAACTTGTTCTGCTGTATCATACGTTTCCTAGGAGAAATCATGTGCGAAACGAGAACGCTACCTTTTGGAATGGTGCTGCAACACCTTCATATATGCTGTCTCCCATGAAAACTAGACATGCGCATCAATGTCAAAGGAATACCGGTTCGAAGGTGAAAGAAAAAAAACGCATCATATGCGTATTGTACGAATGACAGCAAAAGGTTCATTGTGCACACTTCGTTCCCACTTGAAGTCTGGTGTACTGTAGTGTCCTACATGCATGCACGCGTACGACTACACAGCGGTCTGTGTACGGGAGAGGGGTATACCGTGCTGCGAAAAGCAGAACAGAGAACAGACCGCTTTGCGGGGGAGTGATTTCATCTTTCGATTGGCCTGAGAGTTGGGAAGTTGAACATCGAGGATAGCTCGTACGTCTGTCTTCCCGCACTGCACTACGAAGGAATTTTGATGAAGTTGCAACAAAAACTTTCGACCACGCGCAAGACAAGAGCTCGATTTTTCGCGAGACACCAACAGCAACCTTGGGGCGACAAAGCAGTTAGTGTGCACGATCACGACCACCGGCAGTAAGAAAGCCCTATGCATACATCCTTCAGACCGAAGAGGGCCAGGCCCGTCGCGCACAAGCGTGGTGGACAACGGAGAAACACACCCCCGGTGGAACTTCTTGCTTGTACTCGGCACTCTCTTTTGTTGCGACCAAGGGCCAGAAAAACATGCCCGAACGACCACAAAATACGCTTTGCTTGCGGCTGGCTTTGCGCGCGCCCCTGTTGTTGTCGCCAAGCGTCTCCGAGAGGCAATTCGGCGCGAAATTAAAACCACTGACCTCACACTTTCGTTTCGCTTCGAGACACAGCAGATTCACGTGAAAACACGAGACGATGGGTCAACGTGAAAACACGAGACCATAGGTCAGACAGAGACAGCCGCGGGGGAGATTGCAGCCTAAATAGGTACACACACAGCTTTTTTACCTGTACCCAGCGATGTGCATCGTGAAGGTCATGGAGGCCGGCGTCCCCACCACGTGGTAGCTGATGTCCGGCACCACCCCGAGCTTCTCGAGCGCCTCCTTGTCCCGCTCGTTGGTGGACACCTCGAAGGTCTTGGTCGACGTGCACGAGGCGAAGTGCCTGGAGCTGTGGTTGACCCTCATGTTCGCCGTCGACGACGGCGACCGCAGCGTGCCGATCCCGTGGTTGTGCTGCTCCTCCGGGAATACCAAGCTCCACACCCGCCGCAGCCCCTCCGTCAGGGCCGCGCACGCGTCGGCGCAGGCCTCGCTGTTGCGGCGGCGCGGCGGCCGCTGCTGCCGCTGCTGCTGCTGCGGGGGGGACGGCATGGTCTTGGGCATGACCCATCCCGTAGAGGAGTAGCACTCGTTTACGGTCCCCATCTGGCGCCGCCGCTGCTGCTGCTGCTGCTGCTGCTGCTGCTTCCTCTGCGGTCTGTACCATTCGGCCCTCTCGTTGACGTCCTTCCAGTGGTGGTTGTTGCTGTGGCTCAGCGACGAAAGCTGCGGCTCCGAGAACGATCTCTCGCGCCCCCGGCTCTCGCTGGCCAGGTCCTCCAGCTTCTTGGAGAAGTCCCACTCTTGCGCCTCCTTCAAGGAGATGCGGTTGGCTGCGGGGTAGAAAGGCTCCACGTTGCTCTTGACAGCCGCGGCCGCCGCCGCCGCCGGAGCCGCCGCCGGCCGCCGGTGGGCGTGCACTTCCTGCTGCTCCCAGCCCTTACTTTCGTTCTCGGCCGTGTCTTGGCTGGACGTCCTCGAAGTCGCCTCGGTCTCGACCGAGCTGGGGCCCCTCTTTGCGGGTGCTTCCAGGAGGTGCCGCGCAGCGGTGATGGTCTCGAGAGAGACCCCCCCCAGGTGGCTGTGGTCGTGCCGGGCCGGGTCGAGGGAGACGTCGTGCATGACATCGGTCTCGACGTAGAACAGCTCGCCTTTTTTTTCGAGGGGAGAGATGCAGCGTGTGTGTGTTCGGCAGGGGGGGGCAAGAGGGGAGGGAGCGACAACCCCGGCGAGAGAGAGTAAAAAGAGGATGGAGAGGGAGGTTGATCGGTGATTTCTACTCTTCTATTTGTTCCATTTGAGATCCGCACCAGAGAACATCAATGAACTCAGCGTTGTTCCGATACATAAAAAACATCTCCCGCGCCCCCTCGGTTTAGCTTCTCCACCAAAGGAGCAAAGGTCTCGTGCAGATCGATCGTAAGAGCCCGTGCTGATCCGACGCACCCTGTTCCTGCATCCGTTATACGCTCACATAGTTCGAGCCCACCAGTTTTCGGGAATATGCCCTACGCACTCACCTTCGCTGAGCATCCTAAACGCTCTGTCTTCCGCCTCCTCACGATCGAACGACTCGGCCTTGCGCTTCGGCTCCATCCCCGCCAGCGGCATTGTCATGATGTTCATCCTGCCTCTCGTTCCCTTTGATAGGCGCCAAGGGGGGGTTGGTTTGGGGGTTATTACTCGCGGAGTGGAGAGATGCGTGGCAACCCAGCGAGTACGTACGTATGTGTATCGATGTGGTCCGGAAAAAGCTGTCTGTCTGTGACCGGTGATGACGTCATCCCGCACCCCTCGTCCAGTATCCGGTAGCTTCCGAATAGACCAGGATCGTACGCACTCGAGGCCAAAGAGTGCGCACGTACGTGCGCACGCGCCCGAAAAAAATAAAATAAATATAATAAAATATAGAGATGGTTTCGTTGTGTCATATTAAGAAAAATAAAAAAAATATATATATGAAAATAGGGATGGATTCGCTGTTACTTAAAAAAATACATGCGGTATTAAGCGGTATAGCGGTGTAACCCCCTCGGGTGCGGAGAAACCGTTTGGTAGGGTTGTGTAAATAGATCCCGCCGCCCGCTGCCCACGCGTTGATGATTATGATGGATGCAGGTGTCGCTGTTACGGACTCGCCGCTAGGTGTTGGTGCGTCGAGCGACAAACAGCGGAGACACAACAAGCAGTGAACACACGGCGGTGCTTGCACAATACATTTCGAGAATCCATTTCGAATGGGTCAGCAGAAGAAGAGGTTGAAATCTACAACAACGGCGGCTTTTGCCTGCGGCCACTGTTGCCGCAGCTCTCTCTGCCTCTTCTAAGAGGGTGCGGGGATTGTTACACACTACATACGCCGCCAGCTCCCAGCAGCAGAGATACAAAAATCAATTCGCCAGACATCATTTCTGCGAAACGACGAAGAAGACCGAAAAATAGTCGCAACAGGCGGCACCAACAATGACGACTTCAATGACTCCAATCGCGGAAGAACTCGGACGGGGAAGGGAGAAGGCGGTAGAGCTGGGCGATCTCGATCTCGACTCGGCTAAGCTGGACGACATGGTTCATGCGTTGGGAAGGCTGGAGCTTGAGAAACGAGGCCTGCTGGAAAACATCCGTGTTCTTCGCCTTCGTCTTGCGGACGAAAAGGTGTGGCATATCGAGCTGGCTGTCTAGGTTACTAGTCTCGACCGCATGATGACCTCCACTGTATGTGATACAAGTACTGCTGTAGTCTACAAGTTCCTTGAGTTTCTTCTTCTATGTCAGCCTCTGAAATTCTGAGCTCCCACAGTCGCGGTCTGTATTGAAGTCTAAGGGGCACGGATCGGAGAGTTGGCACGGGAACGTAGGAGAGTTGCAGAGTAGCACCACAGCAGTGCGAGAAAGAAAAAAAACAAGAACGAGACGATGGTTGCATTTTCGTACGTGGATTGGAGAGATCGCACGGGTTGCGTTTTCCCTGTTTCCTGGCCCCGGTACACCCCCTTCAGGGGTGAGGTTACGTGGTGCCTCTATTGACTCCGGCAGACAGTATAAACTGCATCAGACAAAATATTTACAATAACAAGAACGATGTTGTAACTGCTTTCTGCAAGGGATCGGAGAGTTGACAGACACAAGGCTATCACAAAATCTAAACCACGCCATGATCTACAAAACGATCGCACGGTCGTGCTAACTTTCCGATTGCTGTGGTACTCTGGTTATATTCATTAACGCGCTAAGATAACTCCCTAAATAGTGAGGGTGGCACACATACGCCAGGTACGTACATAGTATTGCAGGCGGCATATACATATGCTGTTATTGCAAACCTTACCGGTACTGTATGTGTATGCTGCCGCACCTCTCGATACGGCGGTGTGAATATTGCTGTCGCACGCACCACGTGTACATAGGAAGACCAGAGTGACGTCTACTACTACCTCCACAAGAAGCTCGATGACAACTACGACGTCATCAGCGCCCTCCAAAGGCAGCTCATGGTCGAAACAGCCGACCGAGAAAAGGCGGAAAAAGAGTACACCAGGCAGATCGAGGAGCTGGAGGCTCGCAGAGACGAGGAGCTCGGGCCGCTGAAAGAAAAGCTCATGACGGAGGAGGAGCAGGTGTTCTAGTAGTAGTCAAAATTTACGGTATTCTTGGCCTCCTACACGAACACCGTAGCTTGGGGAGAGCTATACGCGCGAACCTTTCCCCGACGTGCGCTCGAGTTGGTTCACATCGACTTGCCCTGTGGAAAGCAGAGAAGGGAGAAGGTGCCCGAGTAAGGTAGGTCAGCGGATGTTTGAGTCAAATTTTCGGCGCGCCCATACCAGCCAGCAAGAACAGGCGCTGAAGTCTGGAAGTAGGAACTACTAGGTCACGTGAATTTCAGCACTACCAAGCTTTACCGAGGCCTCCTCTGTTGATTGATCGGCTGCTGCTGTCCTTGCTTGCATCGCAGCTGAATGGCATGCACGAGGCCGCGAAGAACAAGCAAGAGGCGGACGCGAAGCGAGCTCGGCTCGAGTGCGAAATCGAGACGACACAGTTCACGTTCGAGAACGACCTCAACACCGAGCGACGCAAGAAACTACAGGAGAAGCAGCGGGTGCGGACGCAGGTCGAGGAAGAGATCATGACGCTCAGCTCCGAGCTTTTCTCCAAAAAGGCAAGCTGGCACCGACTACTCCTCCTGTGGTGTAGGTATGAAGTGTTACACCTCTATTTCCATCCTGGCATGAAAGAAGATCCCACGTTTGCCATCGAAACAAGTGTACCCAAACATGTACCGAAAACCGAAGGTTGTGCTGTGCTCTGGCCAGCGGCCTTCCACGCGACACAGCCGTCGCTTATCTTTACCTTGTCGTCGATGCCACTGTTGTCGTCGTCGTTGCTTAAAGCCGTTGCGTTCTACTGTTCAAGCATTTATCAATCTCAAACTCACATAATGGTCCAGGGTTGGTCCACGAAGGCGGCCCAAGTCCCGTCGGATAACTGACTTGACCCGGCTGGCTCATCCCAATCCTGCCCCAACGCCAGCCTAGCGTAAATCGAGCTCAACCTCTCTCGTTTCCCGCGCACTTCTATGCATATCACCCGACTCAACCGCGTTCGACGACATCCGACACCCGGCTCGAAAACAATTTTCCGGGACCAGGAAGTTGAGCTCGCCGACAAAACGGTGCGTGCCAAGGACAACAACGACAAGCTGCACGCGGCGTTGCAGGCGAAGGCCAAGCAGGCCGAGCAGATGATGGTGATGAACCAGGGCCTGATATTCGAGAACAGGAGCTTGAGAAACGACTTGGATCTTGCGGAAGCATCGGAGGTAAACGCCTACCACCCTAAGCTCTTGAGCTTGTGCGCCGGAGGTGTATGTGTGGGCGTAGGGTACGGCGTGCCGCTTCGCGTCGACATAGAAGCCGCCGTAGCTGCCTGCACGGAAGTTACGAGTTTCCTCGAAGCACATGGGCGTGAAGATCACTCTTGGACGCTAGGTTGCCTTGTGATACAGCCAAAAGCGGGTAATTCGCCGTTGTAACCAACTTGTCTCGCCTTGATTACAACGGGGTATAGAGTCGGATCAAGTCAGCCCACCCTTGATTGCTAACAGTTGCCGATCTCGGGTAGTCGAAGCCCAGTACTCCTGCTTCATGAAACAGTTGATGAGGACAAGAAAGCTGCATCTCCCCGGGCCTATTCTTTCCGCTCGGTGTGCAAACCGATACCTTCCTTGCTTGGCGAAAAACTCACCTCACTACTACTCTCGTTACAAACATGGGGGGGGGAGGAAGTACAACAACAGTTCCTTCGACCTTCTTCGTGAATCTATTTTGCGCGCCACAACACGACTATCCAAACATAGGAAGTCCTACACAAGCGCGTCCGGCTGTACCACGAACTCGTGATCAGCCTCAAGGCCCGGCTGGAGCAGGAGGCCTGCGACGACGACGCTGAGGACGATGACGTCAGCGACGGACAGGAGCTGGCCGAGCTCGAGGAGTCTCTAGCGAGTAGCGGTGGCGGCGGCGGTGGCATTCGAAAAGCAGCAGACGACACCACCGTGTCTTGCCTGGACACTCTGTCTTCGACGTCGGACACACCTTCCAGCGCCCAGGTCATCTGGGCCGGCGGGGCCTGCGGGGCCCTCGCGTACGAGTCCGTTGACGAGCTCCGCGTCGCCGTCGAGAGCCTGCAGCGCTTGCACACCGAGCTGCGAGAGGAGGCAAGCCGACTGACCGTACGGATCGAGGAGGCTGTGGATTCCGCTCCTGCGGCAGGGACCGAGGGGGGTCGTGGCCGCGACACGGAGGACCCCGTGGTGTCGTGCCTGATTGAGGCGGCGGAGGAATGGATGGCGGCAGCGTTGGCTTCACGACCGGCGAGGCCGGGTGAAGAGCGGGACAGAATCGGCGGCGGCAGCGGCGGCGGCGGTGGCAGCGGCAATGAAGAAGAAGGCCCGCCCCTGCTGTTGCTCCCTGCGTCGGCAAGTAGAAGAGAACGCTCCGTGCGGGGTTCGCCAGGTGACCACAGCGGCGCGACCACTCCCAACAACAACATCACCGGCGCCATCGATCGCCGCTACAACCTGCGGAGCGGCAGCGGAAAGCGTGGGAAAACTGCGGACAGCAGCAGGAGTGGCAAGCGAGGGGCGGTGGCGACGGCACGTGGTGGATCAGCGCTCGCAAATCAGCGAAGAAAACAGACGCCGTCGCCGTCGCCGTGTACGACGCCAAGCGGCGGCGGCCGCGACGGCGGAGCGCTGGCGGCGGCTACCAAAACCCCGCTCCGCCGTCGGGAGCTGTTTTACCACCTCGTGGACGCGTTCCGAGAATACCAGAGGAGAAGGACAAGCCAGCACGTCGGCGATGGTGCTGTTGACGTAGGCAGCGACCGGCTTCCCGGCGGAGAAGAGTGGGGGCAAAAAGGTGTTCCGGGGACAGGAACTACGGCAGCGGAAGCCGGAGGGCCCGACGGAGGTGGCAGCAACGCCAGCACCGAGTTTCCACCCGTTGGTGTTTCGTTCGGTGACGACGGTGACCTGCACTCGGCGAGCGATGGCCTGTCCGCGTCTGTTCGGACTCTGTGCGACTTCGGGCCGCCGGACTGCCACAGCGTGTCGACGCAAACCGTTGCCAAGGTGAGGGGGGACCACAAAACAAACGTCTAATTGGTCGGTCTTGAGGTTCCCTGCTCGCGCGTGTAGGTTGTGTGCTGCGGTTGGTTTGTTGTTGTGTTTATGAAAGCCGGATTGCTTCTTCGGCGAACGTACTGCGCATGCTGCGTGGACCGTTCTACTGTTTCTGCAATATGTGGTTGTATTACCCTCACATTGCCCTACATTTTTATTGCTGCAGACCCAGCGCTTTCCTCTTCCAGAGGCTTGTGATGTGGGCAGGGCCAACTACTAGTACTGTTCTCAACCCTGACACAACCGCAACAGATGCTCGCTCCCCCCCCCGTAGTCCAGTTTCGTAGACGGTTACAGCCCGGTAAGCCTGTCATCTGGACTCAAGTTATGGCGGGGCTAGAGGGACTGGCTGTGGCGTGACCGTGGCGGAGAGCAGCATGATTCACACACCCTCGCCCGTGCCCTACGGTCACTACGCCCCCCTGACCGTGCACGTACGGCACGCCGTCAACCACACACGATGCCCTGTTTCTGTCTCTTCGCAGCACTTCCCGGAGAAGTTCGCGTCGGTTAGGCCTGCCCGAAGGCTGGTGGTCAACAGCACCTTCCTCACCTCTCACAGCACCGTCACCAACAGCGTGCTCTCCGCCAGCACCGTGCGGAGCTGGGGCTACGGCGCGGCCTCCTTCGACGGCCAAACCGACCGGCGACTCTAGCCTTACCGCCGGTTCTCTGCCGAGGACCCTCATGTACCAGATTGGCGAGTTGGAGCGGCAGGCCCTCTACATACGCCCGTTGTTGTCTTCGTTGAGAGTTTATAACCTACCCTTGCTTTTTTTCTTGATGTGATATTTTCGGGTGCTCTGTTGTGGTGGGCATGGTTTGTCCTCCTCGTTATTTTTTGTATGTACCTCGTTCTTGGTTACATGTAGAAGCTTGTTGTGACTGCGGTAGTTCGTGTCTCTTTGGTGGTACGAAAGGAGACACGGGACGCACTACAGGGCATTTTTATGTGCAATTATAACAAGGCGGTTTCGTTGTTCTCGAGATGACATCAGTAGTGTTACTACAGGCTGCCGTGCATTAGAGCTGGCGCGAGCTGGGCGCTGTGATGAACAGGCCTGTGCTGTTCACGACAGCCTTCCGATTCCTACAGGTGGCTCTGCTGTGTTTGTGTGAACTCGCTCGCAGCCTTTTCAGGACGCCAAGCTAGATCGAGGTATGGTGTGTCTTGGAATCTTGGAAGCCAGCCCCTGTCCTCGCAAAGCCAAACAATACTTGCAGGAAGTAGGGGGCACTCGTGAAGTTTAGAGTTTAGCAAGGGCATGAAACATAGAAAACCGTTCGTGTCCGAGATGGGAACCGAGTTGGCGTGGGGGGGGGGGGGGGGGGGGGGGGGGATTTTTCCCCCCCCCGCATAAAATAAAAAAATATAAAAAACAAAAACCAAAATCCCCCCCAAAACCCCAAAAAAAAGGAACAAAAGACCCCGGTCCAAAGGGGTCCCCCCAACGGGCCCCCGGGCTCACAAAAGAAAAAAAAATCAAAACCCCCAAAAAACAAAAAAAGGGCCCGCACAAGCGGGCCCCACGCCTTTCTCCACCCGGAAAAAAGGGGGAAAAACCCCCCTTGAAAACTCCAACCCCGAACCCCCTTTTATTAATAAACCGGA